AGACTCATCTGTCTCCTGTTCACACGTCCAACCTCAAACCTCCAACAAAACAAACAAGAAGAACAGGTGGAGTCAGGTCAGGACCAGAGGTGTGGAGGCTCCATCATGGACATGAACTGTTCTGTTCATTAGACCCACACCCTGTACAGGTCAACAGACCCAACTAACAAACACAAACTGTAAACAAGTGTGTGTTAGTTCCAGAGGAGTTTCAGTGTAGTTAGCTCCTCCTGCAGATAGAAGGAAGAGTCACCAGAGTCTGACAGAACTGAAGAAGCAGCTTGGACAAGCTGAGGAACATCTTCAACCAAACTCACTTTTGTCCAGTCGACAAACTGAATTTTCTGGTCATGGATTCTACCTGAACGACTGAGGGACTCTTCCCACATCTTGAAAGGCGCTGTACAAATACAATGATTAATGAATGAACAAATGAAAACAGCACAGACGAAACACAAACGTTTGGATTCATGTTCTGCTCTTTTGAGCCAGTTTCACATTTTGAGTCATCGGCCAAAAATAAAACTGTTCATTAAAAACCAGAATCACACAAACTGAACTTTCTGCAGCACAAACGACTGACAGAGTTTTTGTGCAGGTTTGTGTAGGTTTGTGTTTGATTGTGTAGGTTTGTGTAGGTTTGTGTAGGTTTGTGCAGGTTTGTGTAGGTTTGTGCAGGTTTGTGTAGGTTTGTGTAGGTTTTGTGTAGGTTTGTGTAGGTTTGTGTTTGATTGTGTAGGTTTGTGTTTGATTGTGTTTGATTGTGTAGGTTTGTGTAGGTTTGTGTAGGTTTGTGTTTGATTGTGTAGGTTTGTGTAGGTTTGTGCAGGTTTGTGTAGGTTTGTGCAGGTTTGTGCAGGTTTGTGTTTGATTGTGTAGGTTTGTGCAGGTTTGTGTTTGATTGTGTAGGTTTGTGTAGGTTTGTGTTTGATTGTGTAGGTTTGTGCAGGTTTGTGTAGGTTTGTGTTTGATTGTGTAGGTTTGTGTTTGATTGTGTAGGTTTGTGTAGGTTTGGGTTTGATTGTGTAGGTTTGTGTAGGTTTGTGTAGGTTTGGGTTTGATTGTGTAGGTTTGTGTTTGATTGTGTAGGTTTGTGTAGGTTTGGGTTTGATTGTGTAGGTTTGTGCAGGTTTGTGTTTGATTGTGTAGGTTTGTGTAGGTTTGGGTTTGATTGTGTAGGTTTGTGTAGGTTTGGGTTTGATTGTGTAGGTTTGTGTTTGATTGTGTAGGTGTGTTTTGTAGGTTTGTGTAGGTTTGTGTAGGTTTGTGTAGGTTTTGTGTAGGTTTGTGTAGTTTGTTAGGTTTGTGTAGGTTTGTGTAGGTTTGTGTAGGTTTGTGCAGGTTTGTGTAGGTTTGGGTTTGATTGTGTAGGTTTGTGTAGGTTTGTGTTTGATTGTGTAGGTTTGTGTAGGTTTGGGTTTGATTGTGTAGGTTTGTGTTTGATTGTGTAGGTTTGTGTAGGTTTGTGTTTGATTGTGTAGGTTTGTGTTTGATTGTGTAGGTTTGTGTAGGTTTGGGTTTGATTGTGTAGGTTTGTGTTTGATTGTGTAGGTTTGTGTTTGTTTGTGTAGGTTTGTGTAGGTTTGTGCAGGTTTGTGTAGGTTTGTGTAGGTTTGTGCAGGTTTGTGTAGGTTTGTGCAGGTTTGTGTAGGTTTGTGCAGGTTTGTGTAGGTTTGTGTAGGTTTGGGTTTGATTGTGTAGGTTTGTGTAGGTTTGTGTTTGATTGTGTAGGTTTGTGCAGGTTTGTGTAGGTTTGTGCAGGTTTGTGTAGGTTTGTGTAGGTTTGTGCAGGTTTGTGTAGGTTTGTGTAGGTTTGTGCAGGTGTGTGTAGGTTTGTGTAGGTTTGTGTTTGATTGTGTAGGTTTGTGCAGGTTTGTGTAGGTTTGTGCAGGTGTGTGTAGGTTTGTGTAGGTTTGTGCAGGTGTGTGTAGGTTTGTGTAGGTTTGTGCAGGTTTGTGTAGGTTTGTGTAGGTTTGTGCAGGTTTGTGTAGGTTTGTGCAGGTTTGTGTAGGTTTGTGCAGGTTTGTGTAGGTTTGTGTTTGATTGTGTAGGTTTGTGCAGGTTTGTGTAGGTTTGTGTAGGTTTGTGTAGGTTTGTGCAGGTTTGTGTAGGTTTGTGTAGGTTTGTGTTTGATTGTGTAGGTTTGTGTAGGTTTGTGCAGGTTTGTGTAGGTTTGTGTTTGATTGTGTAGGTTTGTGTTTGATTGTGTAGGTTTGTGTAGATTTGTGTAGGTTTGGGTTTGATTGTGTAGGTTTGTGTTTGATTGTGTAGGTTTGTGCAGGTTTGTGTTTGATTGTGTAGGTTTGTGTAGATTTGTGTAGGTTTGGGTTTGATTGTGTAGGTTTGTGTTTGATTGTGTAGGTTTTGTGTAGGTTTGTGTTTGATTGTGTAGGTTTGTGTAGGTTTGTGTAGGTTTGGGTTTGATTGTGTAGGTTTGTGTAGGTTTGTGTAGGTTTGTGTTTGATTGTGTAGGTTTGTGCAGGTTTTGTGTAGGTTTTGTGCAGGTGTGTGTAGGTTTGTGTAGGTTTGTGCAGGTGTGTGTAGGTTTGTGTAGGTTTGTGCAGGTGTGTGTAGGTTTGTGTAGGTTTGTGTAGGTTTTGTGTAGGTTTGTGTTTGATTGTGTAGGTTTGTGCAGGTTTGTGTAGGTTTTGTGCAGGTGTGTGTAGGTTTGTGTAGGTTTGTGCAGGTGTGTGCAGGTGTGTGTAGGTTTGTGTAGGTTTTGTGTTTGATTGTGTAGGTTTGTGTAGGTTTGTGCAGGTTTGTGTAGGTTTGGGCAGGTTTGTGCAGGTTTGTGTTTGATTGTGTAGGTTTGTGCAGGTTTGTGTTTGATTGTGTAGGTTTGTGTAGGTTGTGTAGGTTTGTGTTGATTGTGTAGGTTTGTGTAGGTTTGTGTAGGTTTGGGTTTGATTGTGTAGGTTTGTGCAGGTTTGTGTAGGTTTGTGTTTGATTGTGTAGGTTTGTGTTTGATTGTGTAGGTTTTGTGTAGGTTTGGGTTTGATTGTGTAGGTTTGTGCAGGTTTGTGCAGGTTTGTGTAGGTTTGTGTAGGTTTGTGCAGGTTTGTGTAGGTTTGTGCAGGTTTGTGTAGGTTTGTGTAGGTTTGTGTAGGTTTGTGCAGGTTGTGTAGGTTTTGTGTAGGTTTGTGCAGGTTTGTGTAGGTTTGTGCAGGTGTGTGTAGGTTTGTGTAGGTTTGTGTAGGTTTGTGTTTGATTGTGTAGGTTTGTGCAGGTTTGTGTAGGTTTGTGTAGGTTTGTGTAGGTTTGTTTGTGCAGGTTTGTGTAGGTTTGTGTAGGTTTGTGTTTGATTGTGTAGGATTGTGTAGGTTTGTGTAGGTTTGTGCAGGTTTGTGTAGGTTTGTGTTTGATTGTGTAGGTTTGTGTAGGTTTGTGTTTGATTGTGTAGGTTTGTGTAGGTTTGTGTAGGTTTGGGTTTGATTGTGTAGGTTTGTGTTTGATTGTGTAGGTTTGTGTAGGTTTGTGTTTGATTGTGTAGGTTTGTGTAGATTTGTGTAGGTTTGGGTTTGATTGTGTAGGTTTGTGTTTGATTGTGTAGGTTTGTGTAGGTTTGTGCAGGTTTGTGCAGGTTTGTGTTTGATTGTGTAGGTTTGTGTAGGTTTTGGGTTTGATTGTGTAGGTTTGTGTAGGTTTGGGTTTGATTGTGTAGGTTTTGTGTAGGTTTGATTTGTGGTTTGATTGTGTAGGTTTTGTGTTTGATTGTGTAGGTTTGTGTAGGTTTGTGTTTGTTTGATTGTGTAGGTTTGTGTAGGTTTGTTTGTGTTTTTGATTGTGTAGGTTTGTGTAGGTTTGTGTTTGATTGTGTAGGTTGTGTAGGTTTGTGCAGGTTTGTGTAGGTTTGTGTTTGTTTGTGTAGGTTTGTGTAGGTTTGTGTAGGTTTGTGTTTGATTGTGTAGGTTTGTGTTTGATTGTGCAGGTTTGTGCAGGTTTGTGTTTGATTGTGTATTTTGTGTGTTTGTGTGATTGTGTAGGTTTGTGTTTGATTGTGTAGGTTTGTTGTGTAGGTTTGTGTAGGTTTTGTGTGTTTGATTGTGTAGGTTTGTGTAGGTTTGTGTTTGATTGTGTAGGTTTGTGTAGGTTTTGTGTTTGATTGTGTAGGTTTGTGCAGGTTTGTGTTTGATTGTGTAGGTTTGTAGGTTTGTGTAGGTTTGTGTTTGATTGTGTAGGTTTGTGCAGGTTTGTGCAGGTTTGTGCAGGTTTGTGTTTGATTGTGTAGGTTTGTGTAGGTTTGTGCAGGTTTGTGCAGGTTTGTGTAGGTTTGTGCAGGTTTGTGCAGGTTTGTGTAGGTTTGTGCAGGTTTGTGTTTGATTGTGTAGGTTTGTTTGTGCAGGTTTGTGTAGGTTTGTGCAGGTTTGTGTAGGTTTGTGCAGGTTTGTGCAGGTTTGTGCAGGTTTGTGCAGGTTTGTGTAGGTTTGTGCAGGTTTGTGTTTGATTGTGTAGGTTTGTGCAGGTTTGTGTAGGTTTGTGTAGGTTTGTGCAGGTTTTTGTGTAGGTTTGTGCAGGTTTGTGCAGGTTTGTGTTTGTGATTGTGTGTTTGTGTAGGTTTGTGCAGGTTTGTGTAGGTTTGTGTAGGTTTGTGTAGGTTTGTGTAGGTTTGTGCAGGTGCAGGTTTGTGTAGGTTTGTGTAGGTTTGTGCAGGTTTGTGCAGGTTTGTGCAGGTTTGTGTTTGATTGTGTAGGTTTGTGCAGGTTTGTGTAGGTTTGTGTAGGTTTGTGTAGGTTTGTGCAGGTTTGTGTAGGTTTGTGTAGGTTTGTGCAGGTTTGTGTTTGATTGTGTAGGTTTGTGCAGGTTTTGTGTTTGATTGTGTAGGTTTGTGTAGGTTTGTGCAGGTTTGTGTAGGTTTGTGTAGGTTTGTGTAGGTTTGTGTAGGTTTGTGTAGGTTTGTGTAGGTTTGACTTCCCGCAGCTTTAATAACTCGATATTAAATCTGAAAACAAGTTGAAGAAGCTGACAGACGTTTGACACGGACCTGCATCTGTTGACTGGTGAAGGGGCCGTACACTTCAGATCCGTCCTGGTTTTCCCATCGATATTCCCACATCACCGCATCACTCACTGAAAACAACAAAAGCAACAACACGGAACATTTCAGCTTCATCTGCACAAACTATTTACACTTCTACAGACACGGGCAGAACACGCAAACTCCACACGGACAAGTCCCGAACCCCGGACTGACCCCAAACCCCCCGACCCCTGACCCCCGACCCCAGACCCCGACCCCAGACCCAGACCCCAGACCCTGACCTCTCGTCTCCTGCTCCGCCTCTTCAGGTTTTGATCCGAGTTTCTCGTCGAATTTGTCTCCGAACATGTCGAGCTCATCGTCCTCTTCATCCCCCTGGTCCCTCTTCCTCTTCACCGACTCAGAGCTCTTTAACCTGGAACCACAAAGACCTGGGTTAGTCCTGGGTTAGTCCTGGTCCAGTTCTGTACCTGTAGGTGAGTTTCTTGTAGGTCTGCTGGTCCTGATCCTGGTCTGGTCTTGGTCTAGTCCTGGTTTGGTCTTGTACCTGTAGGTGAGTTTCTTGTAGGTCTGCTGGTCTGGTCTTGGTCCTGGTCTAGTCCTGGTCTAGTCTTGTACCTGTAGGTGAGTTTCTTGTAGGTCTGCTGGTCTGGTCTTGGTCCTGGTCTAGTCCTGGTCTAGTCTTGTACCTGTAGGTGAGTTTCTCGTAGGTCTGCTGGTCTGGTCCTGGTCTGGTCCTGGTCCTGGTCTTGGTCTAGTCCTGGTCTAGTCTTGTACCTGTAGGTGAGTTTCTCGTAGGTCTGCTGGTAGATCTCGTAGTCTCCGGCGCCCACGAGTCGGTCGGCGAGGGCGGTCAGTCGGTCCAGTTTCTCGGCGTCTCTCTTCGTGTCTTCGTCCTCTGAACGCTCTTCATCCTTCAGCTTCTTCTTCCTCCCCTTCAGACCCCCCAACCTGCACACAGACGAGTCAGCCGGGTCAGATCTGTGGAGAGGCGACTCCCTCCTCCCCTTCAGACCCCCCAACCTGCACACAGACGAGTCAGCCGGGTCAGATCTGTGGAGGGGCGACGCCGCTCACAGACAGAACGACTGGTTTTCTGGAGATTTTGAGCTGTAAAACCTGCACCAGTGATTGAATAAATGTGAAGTGGATCTGTTTAAAGTCACACTGTGGAACATTCCAGGCAGAACAGTGACGTCTCCATGGAAATGAGCAGGTGACGGATGCTCCACCAGAAAAGTCACACAGTGCAGCTTTAAGAATCTTGTTTAGAGCCATTGTCCAGTTTTGTTTTAGTTTGTGGTTTTGTCCAGTTTAGACAAAATTCAGTCCTGGTTTAATCCTGGTCCAGTCTTGGTCCAATCCTGGTTCAGTACTAGTTTAGCTCTAGTACAGTCCTGGTTTAGTTCTGGTCCAGTCCTGGTTCAGTCCTGGTCTAGTCCTTGTTTAGTCCTGGTCTAGTCCTGGTCCAATCCTGATCCAGCCCTAGTTTGGTCCTAGTTCAGTCCTTGTCCAGTCCTGGTTTTGGTTTAGTCCTGGTTCAGTGCTGGTCCAGTCCTGGTCCAGTCCCGGTCCAATCCTGATCCAGTCCTGGTTCAGTCTTGGTCCAGTCTTGGTCCAGTCCTGGTCTAGTCCTTGTTTAGTCCTAGTCCATTTCTAGTTCAGTCCCGGTCCCGGTCCAGTCCCGACTCTGGTCCAGTCCCGGTCCAGTCCCGGTCCAGACCTCCTGAGTGCGGCGGTGACGGTCTCTCCGGGCTGGAGCAGATCCACGACGGCCTGTGTGAGCTGAGAGTGAGACAGAGACGCCAGAGGATCGTCTCTGTCCTCCTCCTCGTCTCTGTCCTCCGCCTCGTCTTCGTCCTCCTCGCTCTGTCCTCGCTCTTCCTCTCTCTTCTTCTCCTCCTCTGCCTCGTCTTCGTCTCCCGCTCGACGTTTACGTTTCGCTCCCAGTCCCTTCTTCTTTTTCTTAAACGGCTGCTCTTTGATTCGCACCTGGAGCAGAAAAACACAGAATTTGGTAAATGAGCTTAAACACGGTGCAGTTCTAAAGTCCCAGTGTGAGTGTGCAAAAAAAAGTAACGCAATAGTTACTTTCCCTAGTAACTAGTTACTTTTATGGTGGAGTAACTCAGGAGTAACCTTAAGTAACTATAACTAATTACTTTTGCAAAGTAACATGCTCAACACACTGAAAACTCAAAATTTGTCAATTTCCAGCAACTTCATACAGTTTGAACAACAGGTGTCACCAACATGGAGCCTGTGGGCACCAGACCACCACACACACACACACACACACACACACACACACACACACACACACACACACACAACACACACACAGACACAGACACACACACACACACACACACAAACAAACATACACACAAACAAACATACACACACACAGACACAGACACACACACACACACAAACAAACATACACACAAACAAACATACGATGTGGCGGGGCTCTATCAAAAACTTAGGCAAGATCGAGATTCTGAGTGCAGGTGGTTTATTGTGCCAGTGTCCAAAGTGCAAAAATCCCAAAAACAGTGCAGAATATTTACAGTGAGCAAAACAATCCAAAAAGTATTTACGTTGAAGAAACAGGGTCGAGTTTCTGCGTTAACTGTCCCCCTTTGAATCTGTACAGCACACCGACGTTACCTGCTCTGTACCCGGTGGCAGACTGATTAACAGCCAGGAACGGCTCCCCTTTATACTCCCTTGACTCCTCCCACTGAGCAATATATCAAAATCACTCTAAAGACAAACAATTTAACCATAAACCTACCTTGTCTATGCTACGTTGAGCACACAGTAATAATGTACATTACATGTCAAAAATAATAGCTGAAAAACGTAAAGAAAATCGTATTACATAATGCGCGTCACATGGTCAGCACCACGGCGCGAACAGCGCCTATTTCAACTACCAGGAAATAGGGGCTCGGTTTGGCAGAGGCGCCGCGTCGAAGGAGAGAGAGACGGCGTCATCGGACAGGTACGAGACAAGTATGAAATAAATTACTCTAACGCGCTCAAGTGTGCAGCCTTGGCGAATTAGTAACGGAGGAAAGAGGGGAGAAGGCGATAATAGTGAATACGGCGCGAATGAATGAAACAGCGGGGAAACGGGGAATGAACTCGTGTGTGCGGGATGACTCAGCGTGTGTGCGCGCGGGCACGTCAGTGCAGACCGCGGTTACGTGTAGGGGGGGAAACGCCACCTAAAATCATAGACGGACTGGCTCCGTCACATTATCCCTCCCTTCCGGAAGTTCGACACTGTGGGGCAACCTAGACAGGTAATCAGCCACGACATTCATCTTGCCGGCACGGTGTCGAATGGCGAACCTGAAGGGCTGAAGGGTAAGGTACCATCTGGTCAGGCGACTGTTGTGGTCCTTCATGGTGTTTATCCATGTCAGCGCTCGATGGTCGGTCTCTAGGTCGAACTCTCGTCCAAGTAAGTAATATCGCAGGCTTTCCAACGCCCACTTGATAGCCAGCCCCTCCTTCTCAACAGCAGAGTAGCGGGTCTCACGTGGTTGGAGCTTGCGACTCAGGTAGAGTACTGGTTGTTCTTCTCCTGGTTCCCCTTGAGCCAGAACTGCTCCCAGGCCAACTGTAGAGGCGTCGACCTGAACAAGAAACCTCTTGGTGAAGTCTGGACTCTTTAACACAGGAGATGAGCACAGGTGAGCTTTGAGAGTGTTAAAAGCTTTTTCGCAGTCTTCTGTCCAGATGACTGGGTTCCGCTGAGTTTTGGCGGTGAGTGCAGTGAGGGGAGCGGCGATGGTTGCAAATTGTGGCACGAACCTTCTGTACCATCCTGCCAACCCAAGAAAAGAGCGTACTTCTTTCTTTGTTCGTGGCCTTGGAGACTTCAGGATTGCCTCGACCTTGTCAACCTGAGGCCTCACCTCCCCTCGACCCATCTGGTAGCCAAGGTAGCGTGTCTCCTGCCGAGCCCATTCACACTTTGCCGGATTGAGTGTCAGGCCAGCTTGCTGGATTTTCTTCAGGACTAGGGAGAGGTGTTGGACATGATCCTCCCAGGTCTCACTAAAGATAACAACATCGTCCAGGTAAGCTGCACTGCAATGCTCACACCCCTGGAGAACTCGGTCCATCAGGCGTTGGAACGTAGCGGGCGCTCCATGCAGCCCGAACGGCATCACAGTAAACTGAAACAGTCCAGCAGGTGTTTGGAACGCTGTGTAAGGCCGTGATGACTCCTCAAGGGGCACTTGCCAGTATCCTTTGCAAAGGTCCAACGTGGTGATGTATTTGGCTGCACCGATCCTTTCCAGCAAATCATCAATTCTCGGCATCGGATAAGCATCAAATTCAGACACAGAGTTCAGCTTTCTGAAGTCAATGCAAATCCTGAGTGATCCGTCTTTCTTGAACACGATGACTACAGGGCTGCACCACTCAGAGTTGGAAGGCTCAATGACGCCAAGCTTCAGCATTTCTTTTATTTCATCCTGGAGCTTTCCCACGAGCTGCTGTGGAACACGGTAAGGCCTTTGACGGAGTGGACGGCCATTCTTCAGGCGGATGACGTGTTCGACAACTGCAGTCTTGCCAGGGCTGGCGCTGAACAGGGAGGACACCTCCTTGAAGGTCTGTAGTAGCTGTGCGGCTTGTTCAGGAGGAAGATGAACCAGCATTGGGGCAGCAGTGTTGGTCAATCCCTCCAGTCCCATGTCCGGCTCCTCCTCACTTTGGTATTGGGGTATTTTGGGCTCACTGAAATGTCTCCATTCAGGTCTGGGTCGGTCATCCAGTTCCAGGGCTTGATGCTGCAGCTCAGCACCGCCCCCGACCTCCATGCGACTTCCATAGAAGGACCTCTGGCCTCCAGGGGTTGGTAGTCCCATCCTTGGGCTACTTGCCGTGGACGTAGGGGTACCTGCCTCGAGGTGCGCAGGCAGGGTTGGAGCAGGTAGGTGTGGCACCGGACGAACTCTGGGAGCTGGCTGAAGAGGAGGTGCACGCTGAGCCACATTCTCTGCTGCAGGGAGGGAGGCCCTCAGACCCCGGAGTTCTGCCAGCAAACCTTCCTCCCGGCGTTGCTGACCTGCCAGAAACTCCCTCATCAAAGCCACCATTTCTCGTCCAGGTTCCGACGATGGCTCTGGTTTGTCCTCCCACTCTTCTTCCTCCTCTGACTTCCATACTGGGTCCGGAGCTGCTGCCCCCTCTGGCTGTCGCACACGGCTTTGTGACCGCAGACCTGTGCGCTTTGGAAGGCGGACACCCTTCTTCCGACTTGCCATCCCACTTCTGACACCAGATGTGGCGGGGCTCTATCAAAAACTTAGGCAAGATCGAGATTCTGAGTGCAGGTGGTTTATTGTGCCAGTGTCCAAAGTGCAAAAATCCCCAAAAACAGTGCAGAATATTTACAGTGAGCAAAACAATCCAAAAAGTATTTACGTTGAAGAAACAGGGTCGAGTTCTGCGTTAACTGTCCCCCCTTTGAATCTGTACAGCACACCGACGTTACCTGCTCTGTACCCGGTGGCAGACTGATTAACAGCCAGGAACGGCTCCCCTTTATACTCCCTTGACTCCTCCCACTGAGCAATATATCAAAATCACTCTAAAGACAAACAATTTAACCATAAACCTACCTTGTCTATGCTACGTTGAGCACACAGTAATAATGTACATTACATGTCAAAAATAATAGCTGAAAAACGTAAAGAAAATCGTATTACATAATGCGCGTCACATGGTCAGCACCACGGCGCGAACAGCGCCTATTTCAACTACCAGGAAATAGGGGCTCGGTTTGGCAGAGGCGCCGCGTCGAAGGAGAGAGAGACGGCGTCATCGGACAGGTACGAGACAAGTATGAAATAAATTACTCTAACGCGCTCAAGTGTGCACCCTTGGCGAATTAGTAACGGAGGAAAGAGGGGAGAAGGCGATAACAGTGAATACGGCGCGAATGAATGAAACAGCGGGGAAACGGGGAATGAACTCGTGTGTGCGGGATGACTCAGCGTGTGTGCGCGCGGGCACGTCAGTGCAGACGCGGTTACGTGTAGGGGGGGAAACGCCACCTAAAATCACAGACGGACTGGCTCCGTCACATACACACACACAGACACACACACACACACAACACAACACAGACACACACACACACACACACACACACACACACAAACATACACACAACACACAACACACACACACACACACAGACACAGACACACACACACACACACACACACACACACACACACACACAAACATACACACACACACACACACACAAACATACACACACACACACACACACACACACACACAAACATACACACACACACACACAGACACACACACACACACACACAAACAAACATACACACACACAGACACACACACACACACACACAAACAAACATACACACACACAGACACACACACACACACACAAACAAACATACACACACACACACACACACACACAAACAAACATACATACACACACACACACACACACACACACAAACAAACATACACACAAACATACACACAAACAAACATACACACACACAGACACACACACACACACAAACAAACATACACACAAACATACACACACACAGACACAGACACACACACACACACAAACAAACATACACACACACAGACACAGACACACACACACAAACAAACATACACACACACACACACACACACACACAAACAAACACACACACAGACACACACACAGTCGGTTCTGACCCAGTCGATGTTGTCGAGCCAGTTGTCTCTGATCTGCGTTTCCTTTTTGATGAAGTAGTTTCCCTCGGAGTCGAAGTGTCCCTCCTCCATCTCCTCCTTCAGGTTAAAGGGTGTGATGGAGACGCCCTCGTCGAAGTCGATCGTGGCGTTCTCCTGACCTGAAACAGAACACACACTTTAACACCAGCTTCACAGACCGATGGCAGAAGACTGTTACTACTGTTACTGTTTAAAGAGTGAGCTCATGTGAGAACGACTGCTTCATGACATCACGAGGTGGAACAGAACATGTAGACCAGGGATGGGCGTGATTAGTCGATTAATCGATAATTGATCATTAAGAATTTCATGGATTCCGTTCATTTTACTGGACAAACTGAATGTATGTGTGTGTGTCGTGACCAAACAGGTGTGTACATGTGTCTCTGCATCAGAAGGAGCGAGACACAAACAGTGGGTCAGTCTGTAACGAACCGAAGCACAAATGTGGATTTAACCAGGATTTGTAGAAGAAATTCCACACTTTCCGTTGCGTTGGGACAAGTGTGAGTCCATGTGCACAGTGGATAAAGCAGCACATATGTTTCTGTGTCCAGTGGGAAAAAGTTTTTCCAGGTGAGAGTCGCTCAATGTGGATGACGAGGCCCCGCCCCCCTCCCCCCGTACGCTGTCCTGGTTTTGACAAACACAAATCTGGTCACACTGACCTGTATTCACCTGAGTCATGTCTTTTAATCCAACACAAGTTGAACCACATCAGCGACACAAGAGCTGGAGTTTTATCTTCACTTAGTTTATGTAAATTAGTGATGTGGTTTTAAGTTTTGTTTCTGTGAGATTTGAACAAAACTGAATTAAACACATTATAATGTCAAACAGCTGATGTGGATCTAGAGTCGTTATGTTTATATGTCGTAAAGTTGAATTTATTGATGCAGATTAGTGCAGATAGTAATAATAATGATGATCATTTTAATAGAAAAACGTTCATGATTAATCAATAATCGATCGTTAATTCTTCCGACGATCGATTAAGAACATTTCATCGAATGCCCGTCCATAATTTAGAGTTTTGGAGATGTAGACAGATGAATAATTAAGTCGTGTTCTAATGTTGTTTCCTCCTCAAAAAACAGACTTTAACATAGAACAACATTTTAAGTTTAAGGCCTTTTTCTGTAAAATAAATAACAGCTGTAAATGTGTTTTACGTTTCAGATCTGGTGCAGTTATAGAATTAAACAAAGTTAACAATTCTGCATTATTTATTTATCTATCTGCTAAACTACCGTATTTTCCCCACTATAGGGCACACATAAAATCCTTTAATTTCATCCAACATCGACCGTGTGCATTATAATCCAGAGCATCTTATATATGAATTTATTGTTGTGTCTTAGTACGACTTTAGTAAAGTACAAAGCCGCTCCACTTGCAGCGTTCCGGCTCCTGTAGTCAGGAGCATCAGGAGTAATACCGTATTTTCCGGGTGATTAGTCGCGCTCTTAAGCCTCTAACCGCATCAAAAAATGGCTGCGCCACAATCCAGAGCTCCCCATACACGAATCCACTCAGGTGTCCCAGTACGACTTCAGTAAACTACAAAGCCGCAACACCCACAGAACACACAAAAACACACGGAGCAGACAGCGACCACACAGCCAAACACACCCACACACACACTCATCACTCCACGCCGACGAGGAACGGAGGAACAAACCGAAAAAGCCACGAGTGCAACGTGCCGCTTCTAAACACGACTGAACAACTGAGTCACTGTGAACACGCCGACAATCCAGCGACAGACACTACTCCCTACACGCCACAACTGAACACACCCAGAGTCACCGTGAACAAACAACATCACACTGTTGGGTTTCATCTAAAGTCCCACCAGGTTTATTTGAGAAAAAAGTTAGAAAATAAACCATTTAATGACAGAGCTTCTTATAATCCAGAGAGATTAATAGAGCGGAAAATATGGTAAAACAGACTGTGATTCCTTTTAATATCAAAATGCACCTGTCAAAAGACACAATGCCAACTTTAAACTCAAGGCTGTTATAGCCGAGTTTCATTGTTGACAAAAGCGTGTGTTGCATGATGGGAATTATTTTGGTCGGCGGCAAGAAACACTAATTGAACATGACGGACGGAGCGAGAAAACACGTAAAGGGTATTGATCCTGGTTATTGATCCACTCTAACGGCAGACGACCCAAGAACATGTGACCAGAAATTGGTCATAAACATCGACGGACGACAAATCTCCCTTTTCAACCCCGACAGAGTCTGGACCAAACCAAACTTCTGGTCAGAATCTCCAACTCCCTGGACAAATATTTATAATAATAATATTATTATCCACAATGACTTGGTGAAACTCCTGGTCCATTCACAGCAGAAAAGATGAAAACCTCCAAGAGTCTGGATGTGTTGTTGAACTTGTTGAGTCCACGGTTTGTTAGGATCTTCTACGTTTGCTCTGCGGATGTTTGAAAGTCGTTTAATTCACCGTTAGTGGTTCTTTTCACTCAGAATACGACAAAGACATTTTCCTTCTTCTGTGTTTCTATTTGTGCGTCCGATAATGCAGCAGGAATTTACCATTATCAGGAGAAATACACGAGGTTACACACTGTGTTTGACGCTACCGTGTTTCTGCCTCCGAACAAAATATTTCCCAGCAGCAACGCGGGTTTTTAATAACAATGACGTCAGCTCAAACTCAACTGTAAAGTGAAAGTGCGTTTAGCTGCGAGGGAGCAGTGGGTGAGAGAAGGAGAACACACACTCGCCAAGACACAGAAGACGGAGAGACGGAGAGACAGAGAGACGGAGGACGAGAGACAGCGCCGAGACACTTACACCACGATCTGCCGACGGATCGTGGACACCCGGGTCAGGATCAGGATCAACTGTGGTCTGAGCTTTCACCAAGACCAGAATCATCACTGAACTGAACTCCAGGGAACAGAACCACACTGACTCAGATTATGACAGAGGGACGTGGACGTGTGGACGTGTGGACGCCGGAATCACACAAACGTTTCAACTATTATGACTTACTGTGAATACGAGAACAATTTAGTATCAGACAGAGTCTTTTTTACACGTTACAATTGAACAAAGTTGAGAGTTTTTGTGAACGTGTTAAATAAAGTTTGACGACTTATCGAACTGTTGTGTTTCGTTTAATGCTCCTTATCGTCCGGTGCCGTTTATATGTGAAAAAAGTTCAAAAATAGAACATTCAATGACAGAGCGCCTTATAATCCAGAGCCCCTGTAGTGCACAAAATACGGTAATACAAGAATTTTAAGTCTTAAATAAAAGATGGAACGGGATGTTTTTCCTCTCAGAGTCTCACCCTCCACGTCATCGTCGGCTAAGATGTCGTACTTGCTGCTGGACTCTTCCCCCTCGTCTTCTTCATCACTGTCCAGAGAATGTTTCCCTTTGAACCTCGAGCCGGGACCAGTGAGCGCCTCCACGCTCTGGACGCACAAACACAAACACACAAACACACAACTGAGTATTTAACTACACAACATCTGAACAGAAACTGTCCCCTGTCCCAGTAGATTTATACAAAAACATTGATTTGTCCCAGTTTATACAAGAAATGTCCCAATGTGTCTATTTTGGACCAATCTGACAGTAAAAAAAAGACAAATAATTTGTCATTTGTGTTGTTATAAAATACAGAAAAACTGCTTAAAAATGACAACAACAAAAAAAAAGAAAAAAGTGTGACTATACTGACTGATAAATGTGCTGGGACAGGGGACACTGGGTCAAAACTGGGACTGTCCCGGAAAAACAGACCTTCTGAAAAACTGTAAATAAAAACATTCTAAATTCCAGAATGGAGGCGGCTGGAGGCAAAAGTGAAGTGAAACATTATGTGATTTTAACTGGAAAACTGGGATTCATGTCAGAATATCACAAAATATAAAAACTCAAGGACAATTTGGAAAATGAAAAGTGCTCAGACACATTTAACCCAGTTAAAAAACACTTATAAATGTGTTTTATTTATTTGACAAGAGTTTATGATCCACACTAAACATTTTTACAAAGATAAAATCCACATTTTGAGGTTTTACTGGACAAATCCTGACAGAAATGTTGAGCTCACAACAGTTTTCATTCATCTTTTGTTATAATGTGATAAAACTTTTATTACTGAGATTTGCTCTTCAGTGAATCATTGTGAATATTTTATTTCTGCTTCATTTTGCCTCCAGAAGGTCTGATCACCCTGGAACTACCATTTTTCCAAGTCATTTTTTATTTACTTCTTTGTCTTTTTAATTAAATCCTCCACTTTTGTTCCTGTGTAACATAAACTCTACATATGAACAGTGTTGGGAAGTTTACTTTTAAAATGTAATCCCCTACAGATTACATACACCAGAATGTAGTTTGTAACGTAATCCATTAAATTATTTAAAGTGAGTAATGTAATCTGATTACTTTGGATTACTTGATTTACTGTAGAGAAACAAAGACGAGGAAATGTTCACAGAAGATGTTTTTTTTTCTGCTAAAAGAAAATAAAAAGTCCAGACTTTACTGAACTAAATAAAAAATATTATTGATAGAAAAAGAAGAAACACGTCCACACAGCAGGATTTAGTCCTGTTAAATCCTGGTTTAGTCCTGGTTTAGACCTAGTTTAGACCTGGTTTAGTCCTGCTTTAGACCTGGTTTAGTCCTGCTTTAGACCTGGTTTAGACCTGGTTTAACCTGGTTTTAGACCTGGTTTAGACCTGGTTTAGACCTGGTTTAGTCCTGCTTTAGAGTTTAGTCCTGGGACCTGGTTTAGACCTGGTTTAGACCTGGTTTAGACTAGTTTACCTGGTTTAGACCTGGTTTAGACCTGGTTTAGACCTGGTTTAGACCTGGTTTAGACCTGGTTTAGACCTGGTTTAGTCCTGCTTTAGACCTGGTTTAGACCTGGTTTAGACCTAGTTTAGTCCTGGTTTAGACCTGGTTTAGACCTGGTTTAGTCCTGCTTTAGACCTGGTTTAGACCTGGTTAAATTTCTGGCAATGAATGGAATTACCAAACCAAAAAAAAAACAAAAAAAGGGGATTTAGCCCAAAACATGGAAACAGTTAAATCCATCTGTGTAATTCATTTATTTCAACAAAGTAACTGTAATCCAATTCCCACTCACTGAAACAGTAACTGTAACTGAATACAGTTACTCATCATTTGTACTCTGATTACTCTGGTACATGTAATCTGTTACTCCCCAACACTGATCATAAACGCATTTAAAGAGTCTGTGTGTGTAACTTTATTTTATTTTTCACCTTTTTCGTGGGCAGATCGTCTTCTATCTCAAACTCTCCGCTCCCGTCTTCAAACGTCACTTTCCTCTTGGACATTTTTACTAAAACAAAACAAAATAAGAACAGTTTTATTCAGAAAACGCTCCGACAAAAGCCCAAACCCTCAGACCCAGAGGTTTAAAGAGAAACTCAGACCCAGAGGTTTAAAGAGAAACTCAGACCCAGAGGTTTAAAGAGAAACTCAGACCCAGAGGTTTAAAGAGAAACTCAGACCCAGAGGTTTAAAGAGAAACTCAGACCCAGAGGTTTAAAGAGAAACTCAGACCCAGAGGTTTAAAGAGAAAAACTCAGATTTGTTTCTTGTTTTGAATTTCGTTGTAGCCGCGTTAGCTTTAGCATCGGGCGCTAACAACATTTGGACAAAACCGCTCTAAAATCATCTT